ATAAATGAGCATGTATTGAAATTATGCTGTATCAGGGGAATGTATCACTTTTTGGCTCTATATCAGGTTGGTATTCATAGTAAATCTGCAGTAATTTGTTGTGACACTTGTTTATGGTCATGGAGAAGTTCGTTATTAGAGTAATAGTGGAATCAATAATCACAAAACGCTGATTTTAAACTGAGTAAACTAGGCAAGTACTTTTACTACTCAAGCCATGATAATTTTGTCGCCATAATGTGACAAATGAATCATATCAGTAACATATAATACTTAATCGGATTTTTGAAATGTGATTATCGATTCATTACCTTTCCTTTCAAAATGTCATTACAACTTGAACATTACATATGATTCAATTATCACACTTTAAAGGAAATTACATATTTGGTAGCCAGATTTGTGTGATTTTTGAATCATTTAAGCACCCAGATCAAAAATTATCACTCAAAGGCCTTCAATATGGTATAAGCTTAGACATGGATTCAAAAATCACATAATAAGAATCATAGAATGGAGATAAATTGTCATATCGTGCACTTAATTTAAGACTTACTATAGTGTGACTTAATAGCGCACCTTTAACGAAAATGTGATTTTTGAATCATATTAACTGGTTTTAATACTATTTAATACTATTTTGTACCCTAAAAAATGATAGAAAGCCAATAAAAACGTAAGATGATTCAATAATCACTGCTCAAAATAGGCTCATTTCCAACGTTTAAGTTGTGATTTTTGAATCATTTTGGCACCAATAACAATTTCAGATAAGACATTCCATTCCTTACATGCATTATAATCACCATATCAATTTTGGCGTCTTTGTGAATAGTACTTTTCAGATTATCTAGTGTTGATTCATCTTGCATTTCTAATTGTGTGATATTTGAATCATTGGCACACAAATAACGATAACTCCTGTGATATAAGCACTAGAGACTCCGTGATTTCAGGATCATGAAATTTAATCGAATTTCTAAAGGTATAGATAGATATATCAACCAACAAAGAACAATGACTATTTTAAAAACGCATTTAAAAAAATCAATCTCTAGTGCCACCTTTTTTTGAACGTGTCCATATGCAAATGTGAAATGTGTATACTGTATTTGACAGATGTTTTATGTTCAATGTTACTCCTCATCCAAATTTCTTCGAAGTAGCGCGCGCCGCTTTCTTCTCGAAATAGCTCGAGGCAAGTCGCTACGTAGTAGCGCGCTGGGTAAGTCCATTAACAATTAACAAGGGACAAATAGTAAATACTGTAGCAACACTTGCTCTATCCAGAGCCCTTGCGCTTGCCGTGGCGCGCGCCCGCCTCCCAGCGGTACTAAACTTGTGAAACAAGCGCAAAGCGTGTCCGCAGTGGTTGGTGGTGCGAAAGCACATGCTTATTATAAGTGAATATTAACACTACTACAGATTGTAGCACTATTTTGTATTTATTGGGTCACTGCACTACGAGCTGGAAAGGATTTACACATAACATCAGACATTTACAAAATCAAATATGTATAAAAACTTTCATCATTCATGTTCAGTCATTATTTTGAGTTTCACATAGCCAATTAGCCATGTGTATACGTGTACTGCGTGACGCGCTTGTTTCACAAGTAGAATATATTCCTCCTTTGTCGCCTTCGGCGGTCGCGCGCTACTGCAAGCGAGAGGGCTCTGGTTAGAGCAAATTTTGAGTGACACTTAACTTGTATTGTAAATATGTAACAGCTACCAGGACACGCGCCGAGTTGGACTCGTCGACGGTCAAACAAATGTTTTACAAATATCACCCGTTAACACTTAACGGGTGATACTCGTAAAATATTTGTCGACGAGTTGAACTCGGTTAAATTTCAAATCCAATTAACAGTCAATTTATTAAATTTGTTATTATTTTACGCATTATTGGTGCTTATAAATGTTTTATATCAAACAATTTTGAACTTAAAATTTATTTGTTATTTATTTTCAATTTTTCAAACTCCAAATGTTTAGTTTAAATGCATGCCATTTTATACTTATTAAAAATGCAAAATTAAAAGTATTAAATTGGTTAGTGTGTTGTAGTCTTAGCCTGTATTATAGCCAAAAAAACAAAAGCTTGAATATTGCTCAGTTCCCCCTCACTACTATAACACAAAGTACAATAAAATAAATCATACATATAAATCGGTGTCACTTTTGTGTCACTTTTAGAGGCTTTTTTGTCGCATAAATGGTATAAATCAAAATATAACCTTTTTTATTTGAGTCCTTTTTTGGAGTCCTTGTACCAAGGGTCAACTATTACCAAAATATGAGAATCATTTGACGAAATACAAAATTGGGATAAGCTTGATTTTTAGAAAAGATATAAATCAACTTAGATCCATTTAAATGGTTAATAAATATACTTAGATTCATGCAATTAGACAGGATATATTTTGAAATATACCCTTTCTCCACGTTTCACATTTTAGAATTTTATATCAAATAGAGAAGTAGAAAGGATATAACTTGAGGTGTACCCTTTCTATATGCTATAAGAATTTGCAAATTGTAATGTCTTCAGTCTTGCTCTATCAGAGTCCTTGTGCTTGCAGTAGTGCACCCGCTGACCTGGCGCCCCCGCAGTGCAAGTGGCGCGAAAGCACATGGTCAGGTAAATGTAATGTCAAAGGGGTACATCTCAAAATATACCCCTTCTATTTGTAGATATAGGTATACTTTTGTATAATTGCTAATTTAAAAGGGGCATATCACAAAATGCAACCTTTCTAATTGTCTCCATATCGGGCCCTTTGACAGAATAATCGTCAACAAAACGGTATACTATACAGGTGTACCGCTGTTTTCTCAGAAAAGGAAGTAAGTCCAATTTTTCGAAATATGGCAATATTGGTATCAACATTTTTAGTAGAAACATAAGCTACATATTAACGTATCAAAACATTGTTGCATGCAATTCTCAAGGAAGTAAGTACCATGAGTTTAAAAAACTATGTCCGGTTTTGCCTTAATAATTTCTGAGAGAAGGAAGTAAGTCCGGACTTACTTCCTTTTCTCAGATAAAAGATCCGTGAAAGATCTGTGAAAGAAAGTAACTGCACTTACCTCCTTTCGGGAGGCTTTCTAATTTCTCGCTTTTAGACCGATTATGAATGTTGCAGAACGTTTGTATCACTTATATGTTTCAAGAACCCCCTCCATGTTATGAAAAACTGACAGTGATCGTTTTAGATCCCTTATTATCAAAACGATGTGTTGCATAATTAAATGACATTTTGATGTTGCATGATTGTGCAGAAATCATCTAGCAAACAATTAATAATAAATAAAAGGGTATATTATGTTGATATATACCCCATATTATGATAAATCCAGTGGCGTAACGTTACCTGTTGGCACCCCGCCGAAAAAGCGACCCCCTGTTGGCGCCCCTCCCCTTTTGGTGCCCCTCCCTAAAATTGAACAAATTAGGTGATTTTAGAGGATACGCCGGTAAAATCTCTAAAAAAGTGTGTATCTAGCTAGCAAAACGCGCAGTTTTGCTAGTGCTTTAGTTAAGTTTTCGAAATCGTCCCACATTCAAACAACCATTCGGCGCCCCCTAACAGGGCGCCCCCCCCGAACAGCAGGGTCAGTGGGGCCCTTCATTACGCCACTGGATAAATCCACATTTTATTATAGCAGCTTAAAAGGGTATAACTTGAGAAAGTTTATTCAAAAGGGTATATGTTCATCTACTATCCCATTTTTAAGATTCATTATAGAGATGTTTAAGGGGGCCGGGGGGGGGGGGGGGGGGTCTTCATCAAAATTCTCTCGAAATTGACTTTATAGTTGTTTCTGGTAGAAGGGAGTGATATCTACCAGCTGCTTTTGGTCCCATGGAAAAATATTGTTCCTAGCCGAAATTATCGCCGGTCTAAGGTCAGCTCTTATGTGTAATTGTATTGCGCGAGCGATTTTCAATCGCAAATTCTGAAAATCGAGTCTAAAAATCTATCTTCTCCTACATTTTTTGAGCAATCACTCTGAAACTTTCAGATGTTCTAGGGACCATTTAAAAGATTTGATTGAGCCAAAATTTTGAGATAGGCCTTTAAAAAAATTTTATTCAATTTTGAAAATCTTGGACCTGAAAAAATCGTAACATTTAAACGAGGTCCAAGATTTTCAAAATTGAATAAAAATTTTTAAAGGCCTATCTTTTAAATGGTCCCTAGAACATATCCTGAAAGTTTCAGGGTGATTGCTCAAAAAATGTAGGAGAAGATAGATTGTTAGACTCGATTTTCAGAATTTGCGATTGAAAATCGCTCGCGCAATACAATTACACATAAGAGCTGACCTTAGACCGGCGATAATTTCGGCTAGGAACAATATTTTTCCATGGGACCAAAAGCAGCTGGTAGATATCACTCCCTTCTACCAGAAACAACTATAAAGTCAATTTCGAGAGAATTTTGATGAAGACCCCCCCCGGCCCCCTTAACTGAAAATAAATATTTTGTCCAATATTTCACCCAGAACACTTGCCTATGCGACAGGAAATTGTTTCTTAGTCCTTAATTGTAAGCAACAAACAGTTTTTACTGATCATCTCAAAATGAACTTTTTAGAGATCATATACCCTTTTACTTGGGAGGTGATGATATAGCTTTTCACTATAACACATTTGCTTCTTCCGTTTAACATTATTAACTCAAATAAACCATGTAGTAGTAAGAACTTATTTTTCGAAATGAAGATCAGGAAATAGATAAATGTGAAATGTACTTAAAACTTTTTTAGTAGTTTTAAAAATAGGTTGTTACTTGTTTAGATATTGGCCTCAGTCATCGAGCAAACAATTTACGCTACAAAAGACAAGCCTTAGTTTCAGGTCTGTATATAGCTGAAATTTTCTTTTCATGACAGTAAAAGGGGAAAGTTACAATTTCCCCCTAAAAATAAGGGATTTATTCCAGTGGCATGACGTAACGTTGCATGTTACGTCATGCCACTGCCCCCCTTCAGATCACAGGCACAATACCACCTCTTCTTGCATCATCTATGAATTTTAGAAATTTCCTTACATCAGTGTACACACCAAACCTGTTCTTATTTGCACAACCAATCCCCCAACTCACTACCCCAACCAGACTGTACCTTTGTTTGTTGTACCTACTCATTGAAACATCTAATAAAGGACCTCCACTATCACCCTGACAGCTGTCTACTCCGCCATCCTTAGACCCTGCACACACCATCCTTGCAGACACCTCCCCTCTCATATACTGGTTGCACACTTCTGAGTTCTCAACAGGTACATTCGCTTTCATTAGCTTGCTTGCTAGTGTAAAAGATGGGAGCTGAGTGACTCCAAATCCAGTGATGGTGAGTATTTTGCCTTCGTTTAAAGGAGTATTAGCGTCAGGGAGACACACAGATGACACTTTAATGTTGAGGGTAAAGGGAGATTTTAGTTTGAGCACTGCTATGTCATTGTGTTGTGAAGTGGACAGGGTGTAGATGTAACGTGGTGACACATATCCTTTGTCCACTTGTTTTGTCTGTGTTTTGTCATTTGTTCTGTCTGTGGCTCCTGCAGTGACAGACATCATCTCCTTATCAAACCACTCACAAGGGGCAGCATCAGACCAATCTTTAGGATTCAGTTGAATGTTGTCTTGTTTCAGTACAGTACTAAACCTTCTGAATGAAGGAGCGGAGTGACAGATACGTTTGCTCTTGGTAGTCGCTTTGTGTAGACAATGTGCTGCTGTGACAACTGTGTCGCTGGATATTAGCGTTCCTCCACACACCACTTTCCCTCTTAAGTTTATGGTAACATGCCAAGGAAACTCACCTGCAAGTGCCTCAGTACCCCCTATGATACGTGCGCTATTATAGTCAATATAATTGCTCACTCCACAGTTAGCTGGCTTAGATTCAAGGACCACACACTCTTCAACTGATATGCTGCCTTTTCTCCGTGTCATTCTACCTCCTGGACACTGCTTACAACTAATCCCTCCCTCTTGGTCTTGATAGAACCCAACCTCACACTCATCACATTGTACAGCTCCCCTCTTATCACTGTACCTCCCTACTGGACACAAGTTACAGACACTATCCAGATGTGTCCCAGCAGGACAGTCCTCATAGCACTGTATCCAGACAGGTATAACACAGTAAGTTTGAGAGTCAGATTGAGCACAGTCCAATAATGATTCCTCCTGTCCTTCACACTCTACCTTGCTTATAGTAACACTGTACTCTTGTACACCATTATACTCACTGTACTCCCCTGACACATATCCCATACTCTTACACACCACACTTGCAGCTGCGAGTGAGAACTCATCAAAGCAAACTGCTGACCACACGTCTGGTTCTGTCTCTATGATAAGCACACCATTACTCTCACCATCTCCCTTCTCCAGCTTTACATTGCTCTGATAATCTGTCAGTTCAAGCTGACACCAGAACGGCACCCTCAGAGGGCTAAAAGGACGTCTGGTGACAGGGTTTATGACTAGGGGAGAGGTAGGGTTTGGTGGCCCGATATCGTACCACTTCCCGTAAGCCCCCGGGAAGGAGGTCATGACACAATAATCCTCACCACGCCCCCAGTTATTAGGCTGTCCTGTCTGCCAGTTTGTGAAACCAGTGTAACGGACCATATTATCAGGCGAGGAGTCTTCTAGTCCTGCAGAGATTTAGTAATATGGCACCTGGGTCCTGGAGCACAGTGTGTTTGAAATAGAACTCAGAATTTTAGTTTCACCCTCAACCTTGATTTGACAAAAAGTAAAATGGCGAAATGCAAATTGATGTTCCCACCTGGTATTGTGTCTTTCTGCGCTGCGTTTCTACTTATGCGTTCAGTTTCAGTGATGTACCCTGATCTCCACACCCACTTCCCTTCCTCTTTAGAGTCTGATATCCCAATCAGTGCAACGTTAACCTCACTGTCCTTCATAACCGCTGATATGAGGTCATCACTCATCATGATTATGTTAAATTTAGACTTCAATATAAACGGATCTTGGGCACTAACCTTGGTGAAATAAGGTGTAAGACTAAAGTAAAATAGATAGATATATTTAAATGATGAAAAATAGTAAGTATAAACCAGCCATGACGTTGTTGATCCTGGTGTTGTATACAGTAGCGAGCCCCCCTCCCTGCTCCTTACACATCTCCTCTGTCAGCACTGGTCGTGCTGGAACAGTGTAAAGTTTATAGAAAACCCCCACTAGTTTGGATATCTTGGTCCACTCGTCTTTACCGTTACACTGGTACATTCCTTCCTCTACCAGCTCTACTTCTCCTCCAGGCAGACTTAACACATCACCATTACTTACTGCTCTGAACTTTCCTAGGATAGTAGCAGTTTAATACTGTTTAGTGTTCAGGTGCCTGGTATCACCTCTATAACAGAGGAAACTAAGGATTATAGTTCTAGTTTACAGTTTTTGTTCAGGGCTCTGAATGTGCTTTTAACAATCAGTTAACATTACGTGATCACTAAACGATATAAGCTTACCCGGAGGTCCGAACGCTGTGACCTTGCTCCCTGTGCTATAAGTCAGCTCCTTTACACTACATAAACAATTAAATGTGCAAAACAATGACACTAAGATTACAACATGACATGCAGTTAGTGGTAGCATGGTGAACTACAATCTAGAACTGAAATGAAAGTGTGGCCCAGTACTAAACCTCATGTCATGTGATATTGAGGCTGTTCATGACTTGCCCTGTATTTTTAACTTCAACAGGTTAAAAATTATTTTAGCCAAAACATCTACACTGCACAGTTTTAACTTTTGCCGATATCATACTCAATAATGGTTAACCATTTTCGAGGACTACCATTTTTGAAGGTCGAATCGATGAAGACACCAGTAAAAATTAAAAAAAAAACAATTAGAACTATTGGAGAATCCTATATAATGACATTTCACAATTCCATGTTACTGCTCACTTGATTGAGAGCTGGTTAATTACACCCATTATCAAGCCAAATTATTATCTATTACTGTTTCAACTATGATAATATTAATACTGAATTCTTTGCATTATTCATAAGAATCCTCTAAAGCTAATACCATATTATATCGTCCTTAAAAGTGAAAATGTTGGCTGTTATTCTATGTGATGCACTTTTAATCAATTTTTCACGGTAATCAATTAATAATGTGCAATTGCGATAGTGGTGTTAAATGTATCAAAGCTCCTGGCATTGATTCTCCTTAGACAATGGGAAGGCAACTCAAACAACTGGTACTTCTTGTCAAGAAGAACTTAGTGCTTCTAGTAAGTAACAAGAAACATTTGTTCAACACAAGATATAACAACAATTATTATAATATTATCAATTCCGATATAATCGATATCTTGAAAGTATATTTATATACTTTTAAGATAAGTTTATAAACTTTATTACTAAATTGTACTTTAAAATATTCGACCATATTCTAATGTACACGTAATAAAATTTACCTCAGAGGCAGAGAAAGGGGCAAGTTCTTTTCGAGGTCCTTCTCACTTGTTTGACCCTGTTGGCATTTAGTTTTCTCCGTGGTACTTCAATGTTCGAAACACAGGAACAATGCATGAGTGAGTATCTGGAAGTTATTTTTATTTTCATTTCGTTTTCTATAAAATTCGATTTCTTTACGATAGAAATGACACGTATTATAACTCGTATTATATGTGTATTGTTACGATACAAATAACACGTATTATAACACGTATTAAATGTGTATTGTTACGATACAAATGACACGTACAGGAGGTGACCGGGATTGTCAATTTTGAGCTATCCTGGTCCCGGTCCCGGTCCCAGTCAAAATTATGCTGATTTATTTATTTATGATCCCGGTCCCGGTCCCGGTCCCGGTTAATTCGGGATTCTTGGTCCCGGTCCCGGTCCCGGTCAATCACTCAAATTTGCCGGGATTTTGACCGGGATCTTTTACATAATTTCATTCACTGTGATTTTAAGTTTTTCCTTTCATTCATTGTGAATTTCATCTTTAAACATCCTCTGAGCCAAATACAACAATGTTTAAAATTGCTAAACAAGTTTGAGTAATAAATTATGATCATGAATTAACCAGTTATCGACCGGAATTCCCGGTACCGGGAATCCCGGTACAGGGATTGGCAATTTTGAGCTATCCCGGTCCCGGTCCCGGTCCCGGTCAAGTCACATTTTTCATCCCGGTCCCGGTCCCGGTCCCGGTAAATTGATAATATCAGGGGATCTCAGTCCCGGTCCCGGTCCCGGTCCCGGTCAAGTCACATTTTGTATCCCGGTCCCGGTCCCGGTCCCGGTCAGGCCTGAAATCATGTCCCGGTCACCTCCTGGACACGTATTATAACACGTATTATATGTGTATTGTTACGATACAAATGACACGTATTATAACACGTATTATATGTGTATTGTTACGATACAAATGACACGTATTATAACTCGTATTATATGTGTATTGTTACGATACAAATGACACGTATTATAACACGTATTATATGTGTATTGCTACGATACAGATGACACGTATTATAACACGTATTATATGTGTATTGTTACGATACAAATGACACGTATTATAACACGTATTATATGTGTATTGCTACGATACAGATGACACGTATTATAACACGTATTATATGTGTATTGTGTATATTACCACCCTGATGTCAGCTCCTGTTTCAGAGCCCTCTTCGTTATCAGATCCTCTTCACGATATTTGGGGTGAAAAGAAAATGATCGCAATATCTCCTGCCAACAATAATCTAGGTTTTAAAGTCTAGGTTCTCAGACTCTTCTAGTCTCTCTTTTCTAGAACTGATATCAAAATGAAGAATGAAGAAGTTGATGCTTTATTTCTTATTGCTACAAATAGAATTGGTCGATTATTCACCTAAGCTGTATAGTGTATAATGTATACTGTATTGTGTATACTGTATAGGGTATAATTTATACTGTATAGTCTATACTGTATAGTGTACAATGTATATTATATCATAATTTGTATGTAATAATTTCAACAATATATTATAACTTTCAGTCGATGATTTGTCGAGTAGAATGTTGACCATGGATACTTTCAAGTTCTCAGATGTTACAAGGAAAGTACTAGATTCAGAAAATATTACCGACGAAATCAAGGAATTTAGGGACGGGTATGTACATGATACAGAATACTGCTGGTCAATTGAAAGATATGAGCTGTTTTTTGTACAATTTAAAAGATACTGACCGTAATTAGTTTTTGCTGTATTTCCATCGGCTTTAATCTTTTAATTACATCAATCTAACGCCAATAAAGCGTCCATCCATTTACATGGTTATAAAATGGTTTGAATAACACAATTTCCAACGTAAGTGTAAAGATGATTCAATTTTCTTTTCTACGATCGATCAAGATGAGTAATCGTAATCAGAAACTTTCACAGCAATTCGAGGTATCTAGTTGTATTCCCAACCAATGACAAATTTAAAGAATACTTGAAAACGAACTCAACAGAGTTCAAAGCAGCTATTGTTTTTGAAGGGGATGAGAAGAATATATCCTACTCCATCCGGTACCACAGAGCGGATGCTGGTGAGTTTTTAAATTTGTCTATTTCAGAAGAGGTTTATCTTTAGAGCTTTAGGATTCAAATTTCAAATGATGAGAAAATACACTAATTATATTTTAATTTAGCAGATTATCTGCTTAATATAACTTTCTGAAATAGTAATATAACCATCTTAATTAAACTCCTAGACAATATAGACATTGACGGATACTGGAACACAGAAAGATTGTTTCTTCGTAAGCCTGATCAGAAAGAAATTACGTCCTCGTAAGTTTGAAAAAACTCCATTTTGTGGCACCTCAGAAGTGGGGCTAGACAGTAACATTACGTATTATTTTAAGACTCGAGACTTATTTTTCGTCGAAATGACTCGTCCGTTTCGTCCGCATATGATGCGGATTTCTCGTTACATTTTACAACGGTCATAATATACTCAATTTCGTTATTCAGTGTTAATACAAATATTGTAAATAATCTTACACTTTTTTAATCTAGACCATACGACAATACGGGGTTCGCTGCTTTGCAGAGATTAATTGACTCCTGCATTCTTCTGAGAGAAGGAGTGGAGTACAATCCAGCAATCGCTATAAGGGTATTGTTATTTGTTAGGGTACCTACCTTTTGTTATCATCACCATTTATCTTGTCATTCAACTAGTAACGAATTCGGATTTTAGTTCAATTAGATATCTCAACCTTCGTCCTACTGATCTTCCATTTAAATGATGCCGATTTTTAACACAACAGAAAATTAACATTTGAATAACACAACCAGAGTGTACCTACACCGGCAGAGAAGACAGATCCCTTTGTGGATATGATGTTCTCAATGTTAATCCCTGTCTCAATGCTCATCGGGGCATTCCTCATTACTTCCTCTATTGCAGCAGACATTGTCGAGGTAATCACCCGGCAGCTGGTTTTAAATTATACCAGTTTCATTCTTAGTTGTTTGCGTTATATAATCATCAGTTAGTTAGTTTCTATTATAAATAGACGAATACATTTTGTTATTATTACACGCGTCGACAGTAAAAACATGCTCCTAAACTATATAATTTTCAAGATGTGTAAACATTTTAAGTTTTTCTCCGCTCCACTTGGTGATCGTTTTTCATGAAAAGCTCAGAGCTAAACAGATCTTTATCTTAACAAACTTGTAGGGTTGTTAGGTGCAATTGTGACAATTAATGCAATCAGGGGTCGTTCACATATTACGTAATCAATATTTTAGCAATTCTTACCCCCTCCCCAGTCCCCCTCCGTAATCAACCGTAATCAAGACCCAACCCCCCCTCCTGACAGCAATATTGCGTAATCATGGCCATAATATGTGAACGACCCTCAGTGGCAAAGTGACACTTTTTATCATCGGAAACATTTTAAACAGAACATACATGATCACAGAATAGAAAGAATATTTAAACAGTAATGTAAATTTCTATTGTTTGTCGAAACTTCTCAAAGAGTGTAAATATTCGAGCTATTTATATGGTATACCAAAAACACAGAGATGTGGTACAGTTGTACCTATAAAATATGGTCCCGTAAAAGCAAGATGAACAATCAAAATATGATTAAATATTAAATATTAAATATACAGCGTTCTACTTCTCTCAAACACCAATTAACAACTTTCAAACTTAGGGGCTGTTAAATATATTGAATAATACGTTAGTAACACATCAAAACACAGCACAATAGCAGTGCCTGAAGCTGCAATGCAAATAAACACGAAATGCATGCAGCTGACTTTTAAAAGTGTACAATAATCGGACCATGCATTGTACTTGTAGTCTATAATGTCATTCAATTTAATCGTGATTATGTTCACAAGATCAAGACACGCAACTTGATGGAAGCAAGGAAATTTGATTTGGTTCAGTTCATCAAAAATAAGTCTTAGTTCACAATCTTTTCAGTTCCAGTTCATCAAAAGTTACCAGCTCGGCTGTTTCCTAAGTTCTTTTTATCCAGTTTAGGTTGTCATGGCTATTATCTTCACAGCTGTGTCTCAGTTTCATTGCTCGTATTCGCTATCACCCCAGAAGGACTACTTGCTCTATTTTGGAGGATTCCAACGATCCACAACCTCATTTCCCTCATCCTCAAAACATAGAGCAGTGGGTTTAGAGAAGCGTTTAGGACCGTACAGAAGATTTCACTCAGAAGCCAGCTGTAGAAGTACATAAAATAGTTGTCGTATATTGGACCCGGGTATGTCTTGGCCGTCACTATGGTGTAGGTGAGGAGACAGCAGTTGATGAAAGTAAAGCAATTGCAGCAGAGGAAGAGGGCTGTAAAGTAAGTAATGGTGATGGAAGCGTGTTGATTTCTCCTTTGGGACACATTGTTTGCGACAGGTTCCTTACGGAGCATAGCAATCGAGACAAGAAACGTCAGAAACACGATGGTTGGAGGAATTCCCAAACAAGCGGTGTAGTTAAGTGTATAGAAGATTAAGAACGATGAAGATTTTGGTACTTCATTAGGTGACAGTCGAGTGGTGGTGCAAGTAATCTGGGTAAAAAGTGTAGTGTTCCAAATACAGTGGTATATGAGGTAGAGAGCAATGGACACAAGAACTGCTCTTTTGTTGACTTTGTAGAAAGGGTACTTTATGACAATCACTCGTGATAACGACAGTGTCATAACCACGAATATGGACATTTGTTGAAGCAAGGAGAGGATGGAATGCCAAATCGAGCAGATAATTTTGTTGTCGAGTAAACCAGGATTTCGGTTTTTCAGCAAACTAAAAGCAATTGGAAGGTGGATGACGGAGGAACCTATATCGATAGAGCAGGCAACTATGTAAAGAAGAGTTGAAAGATTTCGTTTCTTTGTGTGGAGGAAATATTTCAAAGCTAGACAGTTTCCCGGTAGTCCGATCACTAAGCAGACCAAGAGCCCGAACGCTATCAATCCATCATAAATTCTGTACTGAGTTTCCAGAAACAAAGTTTCATTCATTCTCAAACTTAGAATCAGTGTAGGGCTTAGGGCAGTTTGTCGGACTACTTTATCACAAACGTATGTTAAGACCTCTGAGTACTAAGTAAGCCGATAAATATTTAAAGCTGCGGCTCACTGGCCCACGTTTACTTTTATTTATATATAAGTTAAGACACCGGTAATAAAATAATTAATGAGGAAACAACTCATGAGCCGAGGCACGGGTGCGCTAAGAGACTGCGTCGCCACGTGGTTAAGATCTGTAATGAACATGTTGAGCACGGAAAACGTTTGCAGGTGATCTAATATCAAATAAAACGTTGGAACATTATTGGTCGAAGTTGTTAGAATTAGAGAACGCAACGTTGAGAAAAATGCTATGCTGCAAAATAAATAACATGGATAAATGTGAATCACTTACATTTTACCTTGCGGTAAATATGGGTCAACCTGTATTCCATAATCCACACTTCAATCCACCCCCAGGAAAAGTTTTCTAAAATGAGGGAAATTCAGCGAATGATGGGTCTGACTGACACCATAATGTGGCTGAGTTGGATTATCCAGAGGTCTCTCATTATAATCGCTTGCTCCGCCCTGAACGCCACAGTTCTGATGGTAAACTTACTTTCTACTTTATTTAATTAATTGGATAATAAGCTAATATAAACGAGTATCATGCCTTTGATTTTAGAATGCCCGGTCTTGTTATTCAAGCTAAACTGTGTACCATACTGTACCATATTAAACCATATTGAACCATATCGTACCATATTGTACCATATTGAACCATATTGTACCATTTTGTACCCTCAGTTTTGCGGATACACGCCACTGAGTGACGGAACAGTGGTTTTTGTGTTTCTCCTGCTTTACTACACAGCTCATACCTTCTTCGTTTTCTTTGTAACGTGAGCTTATATTTCATTATTATTATGATGTAGCTTTTTTGACATAGTTTGAGTGAGATTTAAATTAAATGTTTTCTGTCTTATCATAATGTTTAATCCTAGCAAAGGTTATGAAGGTTGACGGTTAAGTGTACCTTTTGCTTGAGTAAGTTTTAAAAGCTATTTCACTTTGAAAGGCCTGCCTCAGATGTATTCATATTCGAAAATTGCAGACTATAAAATCATACCAAAATCCTAATGCAATCTGCAAGACATGTTTTTAATTTTTCAGGTCACTACAACGGAACATGAAATCAGCTCCGGCAGTAATGATGTTCCTAACTTTTCTACAGTACCTTCCTTATATTGTCCTCGAGATCCCTCATCTCTCCAGGTTACAGATCAATGTTTTGTATAATTTGGATTTTTCATCGAGTACTTTTTTGAATCCTTTTTTGTGAAATGTCAGAAAAATTATGAATTATTATATATATGCTTTTAGTATCCTATTATTTTAGGAGTGTAAAGATGATTGTGTCTTTACTTCCGCTTTCGGGTTCTTCCATCGGATTGGTAACAATCGCCGAGTGGGAAAAGATTGGGGTAAGTAATTTATTGTGCAGAATATTTACTGATGAATGATGAATGGTGATCTATTTATTTCGTGCCACCACCTTCAGAGTTCAGACTTTCTTTCCTTTTTTGTTTATGGTACAAAAATATTACATCCACTTCTGCTGCAATGTAAAATTTAATGCTTAATTTTCAACAGCTCGGAGCAAAGTGGAACAACTTAGGGGACAGTCTGAGCGTTCTTACAGCATTTTCAATATCTGACGTGATGCTTATGCTCTTAGTCGACATTTTCATCTACGGATTCCTTACTTGGTAAGCTCCATATTTTCTGGAGAGGGTAAATGATAACCAGATTACCGTTATTGTTTCAGATGTTTATTGTTTAACCCACTTAGTAATATAATTTAAATGATTCTTCATAAGATAAGCTTTGTGAAGTAATGTAAGCTGTTTTATTCCGAGATTCTATGTTTCCCGCCCTTTAGGCGATTTATAAATTCCGCACGATGTTTGCCTTTTTATTTTCGACCCTCTGCCTTGAATTGTACAATTTAACAGAGAATCTGTGTTTAATCTTTTACATTAGTTGACAATTAGCATGTACATTAAGATGTGTAATTCGACACATTTTAATTGTAGCGAAGCCCGTTCACTGCAATATCACATGTTCAGACTGCCAGTCAAAAGCAATCTGTCAAGTTTTGTAACGCGCGAATCATTGTAAGATGATGTGTACCGCGCTAAAATGCATATTATATGCATGCATGCACGCGCGCAGTGCATGATATAATATGCAATGGCTGGCCGGCCGGAGTATTTACCTTATAGTCTGATCTGTTAAAAAAAGATATTTTTATTATTCATTACATGATTATGTGCACGATTATTATCAGCATGATAAGAAATGATTGTGTTAATCGTCTGATTATCGCCTCAAATACGTGGACGTCCTTCAGTAAAGTGGAGTAAAGTAGAATTAAAGAAAAGTGGAGTGAAAAGTAGAGAAAAGTCGATATAAGATAAACTTTTCACTATATAGTCCTGTCACTATAAAGTGCGTTTTGCACGCTATATAGTGACAAATATCAGCTGTCATTATAAAGTGCTTGTCACTATATAGTCCTGTCACTATATAGTGTCCTGTCACTAATCGTATAATCGCATTTTCAATGTAATATGTTAGTGTCATTCACACGAACAACATAAATATTCTTTTCACAAAAAACTCGGTGTTATCAATCATACCGTATAACTCTGACAGAATCTCCAAGTACAACCAACATATCATTTAATGGTTTAAATTCTGACTTAAAGTAACCGCGGCTTGACAGGTCATAATCTGAACTATTATATATTATAACAACACAATATACCCTTGCCCTTGAAATCTGCCGGTAAAGAATAGGTAGGTCCCTAGAATGAGCAACATCGTGTAACACAATAACTGCTGGGTATTCTAATGAATAACAACTATCAAAATCACACCACTCTATTTTATTATTATCAAATACACTACATCGTTCTTCTATTACTTCTTGATCTTGTTTACTTGCAGCATATACTATACCTATTTTAATATTGCCTGTTTTACATAATTTATCTAGTTCTTCATTCAAGATACCAAACAAACTGCTCTCATAACTTGTCTTCTCAATAACATGGACTACAATCTTTTGTCCGTGAATATAGTGCCCTTGTTTTATTATTGGAATATTACCAACATCTATAAGTTCTCTTCCTTGCTGTAGAAGTTGTAGAACAATTTGCTCTCTGATCTTAGATAGAATGTCAGTAATGTAAGAAGTATTTCTTAAGTTCAGAGATAGAGTTACAATGGTTTCAGGGGGCAAGTTTGTTAAGGATGAGTAAAATCGTTTTCTGTAACTATAAGCTGATAATGTGAAGAAGTATGACTGAGCTAAATCACAAGTTATCACACAGTTAGTTAGTGCTCTGACAATCTGCAGTAAATCGAGCTCTGGAAACCTATGTCGGTTAACTGACGGACTCATCATACCCTGCAAGTCATCAATAAATACGTGTATGTTGCTTTCCATCAGTTTAGTCACTGTATTATGTGTGAAACGTAACAAATGTGTGATCCTAACTATTACCACCCTGCTTTCACTTTCTAATACCCTCTGTACTGTGTAATCTGGATTGTTCGTGTAATCAACTATCATTTGGTTACTGATATCAGCTTTATGTAAAGCATCTTGATAATGTTTACATGAAATGTCATGCTTTGAGAAAATGAACAACACAGCTCTGTTATCCACATTTGATTTGATCACTTTTATGATTTTGGCCAACAAGATGATAGTTTTCCCTGAACCTGCTGGTCCATTAATTACCAGCAGATTCTGATCTCTGTTGAAAGCATCATGTTGTTCCACAGTCAAGTATTCTATACCGAGCATGTCTGTGAAAATGTTAATGCCACTGTCAATATTTGCAGACTTTATATCAGTTGCTTTTATCACATTAGGATTTGGTAGACGGTTTTTGCTGAGAAATGTAATATTTCCTTTCTTCAACTCGTCGTCAATGTCCATTATAGCTTTTCCCAAGCAACACTTCAGTTCATCACATAGGTTTTTATCAGTACAGTAGATAGCTACCAATACTTGCTTCATTTCCTGGTGTTTAGCGAGAAAAGCTTCAGTTTGAACAAAGCTAGATATCGGACCTAACACGTCATGTTGTTTCCACCAGCTTGAGAAATCTAGAAAGTCCTCTTTGCACAATATCTGCTTATTGGTCTGTTCATCCATGTTCTGAAATAGATCACGACTTGTGCTAGGAAACGCGGACAGGCATATTATTGAGCATTGATCTGCTTCCAAACCAACGAAAACTTGATGTACAAGACCATTTATCAATGATTTTGTCTTTTCAAGTTGTTCGAGTGAGCCTTTAAGTGCTCCTGTCAATTCCTTTCTCTGCTCATCTGTTAATTCACTATCTTCATCAATTGGGACATTCTTCACTTCAATAATGACAACATAGTTTTTCCCGATAACAACAAAGTCACATTCTGTTTTATCTGCAGCCTTACCTTTACATCGCTTGCAGTTTTTTCTGTCATGACTTTTATCACAAATTCGGTACTGATGATGGGTGTACTTGAAGCTATGAAGAACCACACACCTTTCTTCTGTCAATCTCTCCAATGCTCTGTATGTCAGCACCTCAGCCTCATAGTTTGCTTGTTTACATCTCTCGTCATCAAATTTACTGCTGGATGCTCCCTCTTCGTCGATGTAAACATCAATGTAGGTCTGTTTGGGGGCAGGTGGTAACATAATCGGAGATTGGTCTTTAAACTCGCAATACTTTTTACATATTTCTCTGCCTTTGTTTCTATACTCTTCCAGCGTATTCATTTCTGTAAAAGTTGAATGAAATCAAACATTGCAAGTTGTAGAACCCTACAATTATAATGGAGAGTCTAGTACAGTGGCTACCCGGCCGGAGATAAATGTATCAATAGTATCAATTCTATAAGAACTGCTAGATTTTATAGCATAAATCATAATAGACCTTGTTAATGTTTTACTACAAAAAGTCATGAATAATGAATATAGATATAAGTATGTACCGACCGCAAGTTGTTTTTTCTCTATCTGTACCCGATTGATCTCCTTTCTGTTTCCCACTCTGCTTTCCTTTCCCCATCTTGATGTTATATCGGTTTGTAACGAGTTTTGAGGACTAACTTTTCTGAAAAATGTTTACCAATTTAGCAAAATTTAATGTGATCACAACTTGAATTGTACACGGCAGCTTTTTACCAGAGACTATATTGATATTTACAGCTATTTGGCTAATATCATAAACCTCTGATATAAGATATTGAATCTTTTAAAAAAACTCACACAATCTATCCTTAATCCGTATCGTTCCTACATTACTTTAAAAAGTGAACAGTTCGTCTCAGATGTAGACAAAGTGAGGAGGAGGAGGAGGGTAAAATCAGGCGAATATCACAGAAAAGAGAAAATAAGAAGTATGATTGTAACAGTTAAGTAACTAAAATATAAAATAGGCATCCAGTTCGAACAGAGTCTGCTGAGAAACAAACTGCAGATCAGCACAATAAGAATTACGTAAGAGAGAACGGAGTTTGCGAAGCTAATGTAAGGATGTAGATTGTATGACCCTAATAACAGAATAGGATAATGTGCGTCATAGTAGCAGGGGTGTAGGAATGATTTTCTTCATGGGGGGGGGGGGGGGGGGGGGGGGGGCCAAATTCTAAATATTTTTTCGAGGGTAAGGACAAAAGGAAATTGCAGCATGTGCGGTATCGCGATTTTTCACGATGCCGACAAGTCGCGATTTTTCAGGTCCTGGCCTCACGACAAATTGCGATTTTTTCAGTTCTCCGCGTCAAATTGTGCATTTTCCTTTAAATCTGAGGACTAAATTCGCGTATTTTCCTTCAAATCTGTGGGCCAAATATCACGTTTTCTATAATTAGTATATGAAACCAATCAGTATCACATCCACAACCTTCCGAATGTAGGAACGGACTTCAAAAAACCAAAAAATATATTTTCGGCTCAGAATGATCAGGGTAGTATGAAACATGAACAAAAGTGGTTTCCAGAAAAACTTTGAAAAATTTTGACTTAGAAAATTTTCGGTCCGAGTCATTTAGTCAGAGACGAAACGGAATCTCGTTAGCTTTTCGTGTTAAAAGCGATTTCTCAACGGTTATCACCTCTCTAGATGATTCTTAAAACATTTGGACACTATTGCATTTTTGAAAAAAATGCAATAGTGGTGTTTTCGGCCACACCCTTTTTCAGGGTTTCGCGGTAAGTCGAATTTTTGTATTTCAGCCCAGGAAGGTCTTAAAGACTATTCCGATACACTAAAATGTGCCTAATGGCCATATTTATGTACAACTTATGAAGCCAACCCCCCCCAACACCCATAATAACCATCCAATACAACACACTATATACAACAAATACAATAACCAACCCATTATCCCAACACCTCCTTTCCTATCACACCATCTCCACAAACCCCAAACCAACAAAACTCACAAATCCCAACCCCATAACACTACCCACCCAACCCCCCCACTACCCCTTCCCACACAACACATATAAACACACCAATCACCTCTCACCAATATAAACACCCTTATAAACACTCCCTGCTTTATCTTCCTTTATTCTTATCCCCCAACCCCCCCCTCCAACTAACCTACTCACCAAAACCACCAAACAATACCCCCTATAACACCACCCATATCCATACTTCCCATACAAAAGCTCATTAAATACATCAAAACCTATACACTCCGACTTACTCTTCTAATTAATATTCATTAACCATCCTTGTTTAAACCGTGCTATCTACATTATTCATTTAACATCTACCCACTACTTATGACAAATCTACATACACCATGAACCAAGCACATCATTCATTCAAACCACATTCTTTAGATAATTAAAATACTATTCACCCCATTACAGCTCACTACTGCTTTTACGCCCTATGCGAGAGTCTTTCAGGCCTCACATCTAGCGAAAGGCCACCCA